CTCAGCTAAAGTGGAATGAGAGAATAAATAAAAAAAAGAATAAATTTACTCTTTATGTGTAGTTTTAAAAAATTGAATCCATTTTAGATGGGCTAGGGAGGCGGAGGCAAGAGAATCGCTTAAGCCCAAGAGTTGGAGGTTGCTGTGAGCTGTGACACCACAGCACTCTACTGAGGGCGACGTAGTGAGACTGTCTCAGAAAAAGGGGGGGGGCAGCACCTGTGGCTTCAGAGGAGTAGGGTGTTGGCCTCATATGCCAGAGGTGGTGAGTTTAAACCCAGCCCCAGCCAAAAACTGCAAAAAAAGAAAGAAAGAAAGAAAGAATTGGTGGGGGGATAAAGAATTAGGGTTGTTTTAATTTATTTATTTTTTATGACAGAGTTTCAAGCTGTCACCCTGGGTAAGTGCTATGGCATCATAGCAACCCCAAACTCTTGAGCTTAAGCGATTCTCTTGCCTCAGCCTCCCAAGTAGCTGGGATTACAGTTGCCCGCCACAACACCTGGCTATTTTTCTTGTTGTTGCAGTTGTCATTGTTGTTTTAGCTGGCCTGGGCCGGATCTGAACCCACCAGCTTGGGTGTATGTGGCCGGCACCCTATCCACTGAGCTACAGACACACCATGTTTTTGTTTTTTTGAGACAGGGTTTCACACTGTCACCCTGGATAGGGTGCCATGGCATTATAGCTCACAGCAACCTCAAACTCAAACTCTTGGGTTCAAGTGATCCTCTTACCTCAACCTCCAGAGTAGCTGGGACTGCAGGTGCCTGTTACAACTCCTGGCTATCTTTTAGAGACAAGCTCTTGCTCAGGCTGGTCTCGAACTTGTGAGCTCAAGCAGTTCACCCGCCTCTGCCTTCTAGAGTGGTAGGATTATAGGCATGAGCCACTGCACCTGGCCTAGAATTAGTATTATTTTGGGCAGGATTTAAAACAAGGATATATGTTAATCCTGGCAAATATGTTAGAACCATAAAGTCTAATACAAATAAAATACTTCTACATTATTCCTTTATATCAGCTTTTTTTTTTT